TACCCAACCTATTTCCTGCATTGTGATTAGGACATAGTTAACTCACCCTGTGCCTCCCCACACCAATCTATTCCTATTTTTTACCCACATCTCTCCCTAACCCTAATAATTTCTGGTTTTCCAAATTCTTCTCTGCGGTTCGAAGTCCTTTAACATATAGTTGTTTGATGTCGAATAGATGTATCTGTTGAACTAGATTGTATCTGTAGACTATTGACTGTACAAATGCAAACTTTGGTTGATGGTTGCCTTAAGATAGTATTCTAGCACAAAACTGGTGCTATCTTCATCTCAAATGGGCAGAGTAAGCCGGAAAAACACAAGAAAAATGGCAAATTCGGGTATCTCAATTCCCAATCCTGATAATCAGGGGTTAGAACAGATAATGAATAATCCAGAGGAGAGTTCCCAAACAGCTCTACAAACACTGCTGGCAAACATGATAAATGAAAAGTTTTACAACGTACAAAGGACTCTGTATGACCGTGATAGGGAGAGAGAGGAGGCATCCCAGAAGTTTATACAGGAATATCATAAGCGTGAGGAAGCTACTCAAAAACTGATACAGGATTTGCGTGAACAACTTGAGAATACTCAAAGAGAAAGGGAGGAATGGCGTGAGCAGGCTGAGAACACTCAAAGAGATCTGCAGGAATCCCACGAACGGGAGGAAGCTAATCAAAGAGTAATACAGGAATTGAGAGACTAGGTAGAGAACACACAAAGATCACTAAAGGCATTCATGGAATCCATTAACAAAGAGCTGAAGGAAGTCAGGGAGACCACAAAGGGAATGCTGAATGGAACCCAACAGAAGGAATGGGAGCCCAAAGAAACCATAACCAATCAACTAAGTGATTTGAGGACAAACACTGAACACCAAACTAAGGAAGTAAAGAAATTCATACAAGACCTAAAACAGAGCTTCAACAAAGAACTTGAAGCCATCAAAGCTGACCAACTAGAAGGAAAAGAGATAAAAAACAAAGTAGAGAGTCTTGACAGCAGGTTAGACCATGCAGAAGATCGAATCTCAGGGATTGAAGACAGCCTAGATATTATAGAGAAAGAACATACAACCATCCAAGACAAGTCCAAGAAATATGATAGATCTATCCAACACCTGGAAGACACCATCAGAAGGCCTAATCTAAGGATAATGGGTGTAGAGGAGCACCTAGAAACAGAAGTTAATGGTCTAGGAAATCTGTTTAACAGGATCCTAGCAGAGAACTTCCCAAACATGCAAAAAGATAGGCCTGTCCAGATACAAGAAGCCTTTAGAACCCCAAATAGACCAGACGAGAATAGGACATCCCACCGTCACATTATAATCCACACAGGATCAACTCAGAACAAGGAAAAGATCCTTAAAGCTGTCAGAGAGAAAAGGGGAATCACTTATAAAGGGAAACCAATTAGAATCACCTCAGATTTCTCAGCAGAGACAATCAAAGCAAGAAGAGCCTGGAATGATGTATGCCATGCCCTAAAAACAAACAACTATCAACCAAGAATACTGTACCCAGCTAAACTCTCCTTCATAACTGAAGGCCAAATAAAAACCTTCCATAGCAAAGAAAAATTGAAACAATACATCTCCACCAAACCAGCCCTACAAAAGATTCTTAAAGATGTCCTACACATAGAAAACCAACAAGACCGCAATAAAGGCCAAGAAACTGCATCCAAACTGAGAGCAGCAGCAACAGGTAAGAAAAATCTCAGCCTCACCTCTTTGGTGGGGCTGCTTGTAACTTGACTGATGGACCCACAGGCAGAATAAATCATAAGAAGCACTCTTTTAGACAAGGAAGGTTACAAGAATTTATTTTTACTGACAAGGCCCTAAAATGAATGAGAAAATTGGAATTTATCTAGGTAAATCAGAACGATGTTTTTAAAATTAGAATAGCTGGTTAGCCAGGCACTGGTAGCTCTCATCTGTAATCCTAGCTACTCGGAAGGTTGAGATCTGAGGACTGCAGTTTGAAACCAGCCCAGGCAACAAACCCTGTGATACCCTTATCTCCAAATAATTAGAAAACAAGGTGGAAGTGTAGCTATGAGTCAAAGTGGTAGAGCACTTGCCTTGATTGTGAAAAACTTAGGGATAGTGCCGAGACCCTGAGTTCAAGTCCCACAACCACCACCAACAAACAACAAACAAGGAAAGGAAAGGGAAGGGAAGGGAAAGGGAAAGGGAAAAGGAAAGGGAAGGAAGGGAAAAGAAATCAGCTACTCATAGTTCACACCTGTAATCCTAGATACTCAGAAGGCAGAGATCTGAGAATCAAGGTTTGAATTCAGGCAAGTAGGAAAATACATGAGACTCAGAATGATTTTTTATCAAGACAATATGTAGAAATATAGCAGGATTCAGAGGAAAACTGTTAGTCACTTAAGCCCTAGGAACTTTTGTGCATTGCCTAGTGTTTATACTTCCTTTTGTTCTGTTAGTGTCTTTCATGATGGATCTCTATCAACTTAGATCCCATGTCTCCGCATTTACTTGCTTCTGTGTATTCTGCTAAAGAAAATGTAATCCTTGTTACTACACTAAATCTATCCTTTCCCAGTGATGCATTATTTACTACATAATTGTCTAGTAAAAAAATCATCACATTTTCTCCTGTATTTTAGACTATTCCCTTCCTTCAGGTAAGTATTTTCTTTCCTTTTTAAAATTTTAAATGGATCAGATTCCATTAAGCAATTCTTGCTTTTGTTTCCTGAACAGTGAACAGTAAGTCTCCTTGTCAGTGTTACCTATGCATATATATATATGCTCTCCTAAATTTCTTAAACTATTTCAATTCTCTGGTCTTACATTAGGATCTTTGAGTAATTTTAACATTTATTTATTTATTTATTAGTGCTGGTCCCAGAGCTTTAACTCAGGTTCTGGGCTCAGCTTTTTTGCTCAAGGTTAGTGCTCTACCACATGAGTCACAACTCCACTTCTGGCTTTTTTTATGATTAATTGGAGATAAGAGTCTCAGAGACTTTCCTACTCAGGCTGGCTTCTAACCACAATTCTCAAGTCTCAGTCTCCCAAGTAGCTCAGATTATACTTGGGAGCCACTGGATCCTAACAAAGGTTAGATTTAGGATTTTGTATTCTATTAAGAATCAGTTTTTATCTACTCAAGCATTAAAAGTTTTTGCTTTCCTTCTGGGTGAAAATCTTTCACTGGATTTAAAATTTACATTTTTATAATGAGTTCTTTGATAGACTTGTAAATACACTGAGTATAGTAAATTTTAGTCATTTGATTATTTACAAACTCTTCTGCTTTTAAATCTTCTTCTAATATTTTTAGTTAAATCTAGAAAAGTATTTTACAAGTGGTATTTTTTCATTAGTACTCATGTAAGTCTCTTCTTACTATGGGACTATTTTCTTTCTAATTTTTTGGGATTTTAAATTGTAGCTGACAAAGGAAAAGTGTGCTTCCCAGCCTTATGTGAGCATTTCATAAATGTCTTTGTAATCCTTTCATGCAGTATTTTTCATTGGATTGTGACAGATTGGTCTCTTTTGTGGAAAGAACACTAGACTCTGGAATCTTGAGTGTTGCCCTCATCAAAAGGGTTAATACTGTCTATATGGAATCTGGAGTGTATCTGAATTAATTCATATACTTGACAATAAGGCACAATTAGAAATGAGAAACTATGATGTTAAGATTTGCTGTTCTTAAACATAATTATCTTTTCATATCAAAAATGAGGCTAAAGATATGAAATAGTTTCTGAACCAAAATAAGAATGAAAGATGTTTCCAGGGTACTTAAAAATCTACAAGAATTCTCAAGGAAATACAGATTTCAAGATCTCTTGGCCAGTACAGTCTTAGGTGTGCTGGCTAGACTATTAGTTAAGGCCCAAAGGATCTTCTATCCTTTGCAGTTAAACATATTTTCATCTCTGAAATAATGGAGAAGTTTCTCATAAATAACCCAGACTGAACATTATTAAACACAATAGAGAAACAAACATCCATCAAGAAGCAGAATTCAGCTTCTAAACATCTATGTCAGGTACATGACAACATGAAGTAGATGCTGAAATACAATACTGCCTCTTAGACTTGTCTGATTTGGCTGACTTTGAATAATGAGATAAGCCAAGGGAGGACAAGGAGCGTTCAATTAGCAGGCTCTTCCTCTAGTCCTCAAAACTGAGGCCAAAACAATAGTTCCGTTAATTATCATGTTGCATATACACAGTGTTCACTTTCTAAATGGGTCATAAAATTAGTTTTAAAGTAATTCCATTGGTGTTACTCTTATTTAACTTTAAAGTACTTATTTTGAGAATCCTATCATTTACATAGTTCTAATAGATTGAATTAAGTAAATAGAAAATGTGGATGAAAATGTATATTATATTATCAACACTAAAAATATTTGATGAATCATAAACATATTGTAAAATAGCTTAAAAGAAAGTTGTTTAATCACATCTATTCATTACATGATGGTCATTCTACTTAACCGTTCAAAACAAAAAAGCTAAGCACATATTGCTCATGTTGAAAACCTATCTACTCAGAAGGCAGAGACATAGAGTATTACTGTTGGCAGGCAGGCCAAGTAGATAGTTCCATGATCTACATCTCCAATTAACCAGCAAAATTGTAGACTATAAGTGTGGCTCAAGTAATAGAGTACTGTGGGTCAGGGGATGAGCTCTGAATTCAAGTCCTGATACATAAATACATGAATAAAATATGTACACATATATGGTTGAAGAGATGGGTATGCCAAATGACTTCATTTGACTATCATTTTGTATATGTGTATGAAATTATCACACTGTATTATGTAAATAAGTACAACACAATGATATATAATTAAGTTTTTATTCCATTCCTTGAGGAAAAATGAGAATGATAATTAGAGTTAGTACACTAAATCATGAGGGAGTGATTTGGGAGTAGGTTTGTACAGTATAGGAAACTGATGGGTAATATTTAGATAAAATATAAGACATCTTTAAAGTTTTCCTGAATACAACATTCTTAACATTATTTTTTCCACTGCCTCTTTTATTTGTTTATTTCTAAGACTATAGATGATAGGATTCAGAAACGGGGGTATAATGGTATAAAATATAGATAGAATTAGGTTCTGAATACCTTTAGAGATTGCTGAAGTCCTTAGGTATACAGTGACACCAGAACCAAGAAACATAGACACCACAAGAATGTGAGGCACACAGGTGGAAAAAACCTTTCCTCGCTCTTCTTTGACATGGATCTTCAACACTGCTGAAAATATGCGAATATATGATAAAACAATGAAGATAAAACATCCACCGCCTACACCTATGGTTGAAAAAATAATTAAGAGTTTATTGCTAAAGGTATCTGAGCAAGACAGCCTTATTAGAGAGGGGCTGTCACAGAAGAACTGGGGAACCACGTTGGACTGACAAAAGGACAGCCTGAATGTACTGCCAGTGTGAAGAGCTGCATAGATGAGACCACTGAGTAAGGAAGCCAGTGTGGCCTGGACACAGAACTGGTGGTTCATGATGACAGGGTAGTGGAGGGGCTGGCAGATGGCTACAGACCGGTCGTGGGCCATGATGGTGAGGAAAAACAGCTCCACAGACGCACAAAAAATAACAAGAAGTATCTGCATTGCACAGCCAGCCATAGAGATGGCTCTGTTGTCAATGAGGGAGTTGACATAGGCATTGGGGATAGTGACAGAAACGTAACCCATGTCCACAAAGGACAGATTCCTGAGGAAGAAATACATGGGCGTGTGCAGGTTCCTATCAATGGTGGTGACAGTGATGATGATCAGATTCCCTAAAATGGTGGCCAGGTACATCAACAGGAACAATGTAGAGAGCAGGAGCCTGAGTTCCCACACCTCAGCAAAGTCCTCCAGGAGAAACTCAGTCACTCTGCTGATATTGCCCATGCTCTGAAAATGCGAATTCTTCTGGAAAACAAAAGAATGGAGAAAATAACTATGCAATAATTGATAAAATGTCCATGAACTTTCACCTGATAAAATGTACTTCTATGTTCCCAACTGGTCTTCATGTGTTCGAAATTCCTATTGTTTCTCTGCTATGCATACCATATCACCACTCCTAAGAGAATGACCTGAAATATAAAACAAGATGGAGTTCTCCAATCTAATGATGCACGACCACATAATTTTCTTCAATTATATCCACAAAATGAGTTTATTGACTCAATGAAGAACAATTTGATTAATGTATCTGATTGCTGTTTTTGAGTATTTTCCTCCTCTTTCAGTCAATAATATGCATAGAAAGCTGGCTAATACAATGTACATATAAGTCTGTGTGTCTATACATGGTTAGCATTATGAATTGAACTTTATATAAGTTTATTATTTGTATTTAGATATAATAGCAAAATGATTTTTTATATCTAAGTGTATTTGTATTGATCTATTTTCTTCTATCTTCTTTCCATGTGTCTGCTAAACTATCAGTCTGTATATGTAAAAAGAGAAAAAAAAATTAACATTGGTTTCTTTAATTTGAGCTATGTCTAAGGCTCCTAGTATTGGACAACTGGCTAGGACACAGGCCCAGTTATTCCTGCACGCTTCAGGAAATAATTATTCTTCAAAGAGAAACCTCAGTTTCTGCTCTGAAGACCTTTAGACACATTGGGTAAAGCCCATTCATATTATAAGTGATAATCTGTTATTAATTATTTTATCTATAATGCTTGGATTTTTGCACTCTATCTACAAAAGCATCTCCATAGCAACACTTTGATTAGCACTTGTTAAATAAATAAACTTCATAGTGTTTATGACAGCTATGTAGTTTTATTAGTAGTGGGACTTAATATCAGCTGGATGTGAACACACAGCAAGCATGTTAGTCCCTGTTCTTCTACCTGCATTCTCCCAGTGGTCAGCACATCTGTACATGTGCATATGCTCCTGCTCACTGCTATTTGTTGCATAAACACAGAAAATTTATTTGTATTTTACTTTCCCATATTTGACAGATTAGCCTGTCTTAGTTTTTCAAATATTGTAAGATTAGACTTGTTCCTTGCATATCATTTTTAAATATACATTTTGTATAAATGTATATTTAATTTTACGTTCCAAGTAACTTACTCAGCCATAGTTTGGAGGAAAAAAATTGATTTGTCTGAGACTGCTTTGAGAGTAAATAGTTCACAGAAATGAAAGCTTCTTAGAGAATATTTTTATGGGATCACATAACATTTGAAATTTTATTATAATATATTGTAAGGATTTTGTTTATACTACTACAAATTCTAGACTATATATTTTGACTAATGAATGACATTACCAAAGAAACATAGTCCCATGGTTTCCCTTATTTGCAATAACTAGTTTATATCTAGGACAAACAGAAAAGGTCAAAAGCTATGTACATATGACCATCTAAGATGATGCTAAGTAAAATTAACCCCAAGATAGGGACACAAGAGGTTTTACGTTTCTTGCTGTTGTTTTTAATGTACTTATAATGTACTATGTAATTTTTTGTTTCTTTTGTATGTTCTTCACCAATTATATAACCCCTGTTTTTACTGTATTTGATGTCGGTGCCCTGTATCTTATATATACATTTTTCTATTTGGGGAGGGGAAGGGAAATAACAAATTGCTATAATAAGGATACAGGATGACCTGTTGTAACAATGAGATGTACAAGACTCTATGTGAAAATGAACTCTACAACTTTGCAGAGGGGTGGTAGTGGGGTGAGGAGGAGGGAGGAGTTGGGGAGGTAGGGAGGGAAGGGATGGTAGGGGTAAAACAAAGGAGGAGGCAACAATGATCAATAGGGAATGTACTCATTACCTTACTCATGTAACTGTAACCCCTCTATACAGTATTTTCACAATAAAAACATATAAAACATAAAAAAACAATATAAACAGAAGCAAATTCAGGTATTGATAATATAAATAAGAAATATAATTGAAAATAAATATTTTTGCAGTTATCTTTGCATTTTTAGTTGTCATCATCTTAATAAGGGCTATCATAATTACACAATCTTCAATATCACCATATACATACAAACTATGGTAGATATTACTAATGAGCAGAAAAAGCTCAATGTTTCTAGCATAAACAAAAGAAACAAGATAAAACTAGAGCGCAAGAGACAATAAGAGTGGAAGAATGAACAAATTCCTAAAACAAAATGGAAAACTGAGACAGATGTTAGAAATTAAAAAAAAAAACTTTATCATCAATTATAACATTTCCAACAGTGAGACTCTCAGGAGAAGATGACCATATGCCCTGCTTCTAGTAAACAATAGGAAGAGTTAATAGAAATCTTTAAAAGGAACTTTCACAAATAGAAGTTGGAAACTATTTTGAAGCGCAATTTAATTAAAACAGCATTACCAATATTGAAAGCCTAATAAGAGCAGAACAACATAAGATACAGCCTAATACTACTGAAAAACAAAATGCTAAACATGATATGAGCAAAATGCTAAACATGATATGAGCAAACCACAAGTATCAGTGTATTAAACAAATGCCATGAAGATTCATCTTTGAGAGTATGTTTCAACATAAGCAAACCAATGGCTGTGATATATATGTATATATGCATATATATACTACTGTGTAATAGAATAAAAATTAATTTTATTATCCATACATGCAGAAACTTTTTATGAACTCAACTCCTTAATAAAAAGAATCAAGTTAATCTTAAAAGGAATCTATTTAAAAACAGTAAAGGCTGTTTACAAAAGTCACATACTAACATCCCATAATTGTACAAATAAAAGCATTGCTCTATGACCTAGAATAAGACATAAAAGAATCCCAACTACTCTGTTAAATGTGGTATTATCCAGGGAAATAAATACAGCAAAAATAAGAAATGTATGAAAAATAGAAGGTATCTTAAATTTACAAAATACATGTCCTTAGAAAACCCCCAAATCCTTTTTTTCTTTTTCCATGTACAAGGATTTGGACCCAAGAATAATGATTACTTTGGTGAGTTAGGTCCAACATCAAAGGACAGATATTTTTATGGTAAATTTAAACGCTCTATAAAGAATAAAATTTGCTTCATAACAAGACATGCAATATTCTGAGCACATGGAAGAAGGAATGAATATTCCATTATGAATAGAACTTTGAATTGCTTTCATTAACATTTGTCTAGGTAAATGTACTTATTTAAAATACATTTTATAGGGTTTTACATAAAATTGAAAATGTGGTCAGTTTGCTATTTATAACAAAATTCCTGATTCTCCATTTACTTTTCTTAACATTTTCTTAACATTAGCACTATACACAGATGGACAGGTAAAATTGTACCACTTTGTAAATAATTTAAAGATAAAAAGTAAAGTACAATATCATTTGGATTTAGATGTATATACTTATAGTGCCTTAAAATTTAAGCTTTTTATTGACTTCTCAATGATCTCCCAATAGAGATGAAACTAATCACTTAAAGTCAGATAAAAAAAAACAAAAACACACACTGAGTCTTTCATTTTAGTGACATACTAAGAAACAAATACTTTAATTTTAGTTATCTGGTGATAGACAAATAAAGCTAAAACAAAATTCATGGAAGCAAATTTAGTGATGATGCAAAGTTTATATTTCCTTTTAAATTATCTAGTTGATATACTTTTTTCACCATCTAATTTATAGGATGTATATATTGTACATTTAAAGATTATTATATAAAGCTCAGTTTCTACAGTCAGTAAAAGAGACATAAGCCAGATTCTGGAGATCTAAGTGAGGAAAATCATTTGTACAAACTGCAAATTTAGAATTTATTTATTTATGTATGAATAGCAAACATAAAATTAAGATGTATTAAACTATCTCAAAATAATGCCTTCCTGAAATTGGAGTATATGCTTTATGATATTTTACATATAATGTGTAAGTATATACACATGAATATATATGCATGTATACACAAGCATACATATGCACACACATGTATTTGCAGAGTTCTGGCTATGAGTTTCCTAACAAATGAGATTAACCACTTGTCCAAACTATACAGAAAAAGAAATCTGGAAAACCATGTTTAACCAGTGTGGCTATGGCAGGAAAACAAAGGGACCATTTTCCCCGGCCTTTATTTTGGGGTACTGAAATGAGACTTGGATTTTACTAGGAAGAGAACAAAAGTAGGTGGCTAGAAATATGGATGTAAGCAGTCTTGTTCAAAGTGTGAACTAGTTGATCATTATTTCAAGATTGGTCAGAGGATGCCTTATTGTGATAAGAAAGACACTGTTACCTAGATGCTAGTTATTGCAACAATGAGACGTACAAGATGCTATGTTGAAAAACTAATTTTACAATTTAGGCAGTGGTGAGGACTGGGGAAAGGGGTGGGGGGAGTGTAGTTGAGGAGGTGGGAGGGAAGGGATGGTAGGGAAAAACAAAAGAGGAGGCAATCACTTTGGAAAGTAGTATGGAAGTTCCTCAAGACTCCACATAGAGCTCCCCTATGACCCAGCAATCCCACCTTTGAGCATTTACCCAAATGATCACAAACAAGACCATACTAAAGCTACCAGCACAACTATGTTTATTGCAGCATTATTTACCATAGCTAAGATATGGAACCAACTTGGAAGCCCCTCAGTAGATGAATGGATCAAGAAAATGTGGTATATATACACAATGGAATTCTATGCCTCCTCAGAAAGAATGACATTGCCTCATTTGGAAGGAAATGGAAAGTCTTGGAAAAAATTATATTAAGTGAAGTAAGTCAGGCCCAAAGAAACATAGGTCCCATGGTTTCCCTTATTTGCAATAACTAGTATATGTCTGAGACAAGCAGAAATGGTCAGATAAGTTGATGTTAGGCGAAATGAGCCCCAAGATAAGGACTCAAATGGTTTTTCTTTGCTATTGTTTCTACCATATTTATAA